TTTTGACAGTCATTGAATGAAACAAACAATAAATAAAGCGATTTTTCTGTTTTGCATATCATTAAATATACTGAATAAATTAGATATTTGAATAAATATCTTATCTTAAATACTTATCTAAAAAGGCATTTATTTAAGAAAACTTTCTTAAAACGCTCAGTTTTTGATGGGAGAATAAAACTGTGTACTCTATCTCTTAAAGTGCTTATAAGCCTTTACACAATATTTTCAGAATTGATTCTTTAAATAGTGGATAGTTGATTGTGAAAATAATTCGTCATTTGAATGTTGGGTCTTTGAGATACAAAGGTTAATATTCCCAATATGTTAATGACCATGACGTAACATAAGGGATCATTTAATATACAGCATTGCACTCGTTCTGGAATACAGTATTTTAAAAGCATCACCCTTTTACTTGTGACTCACGTAAAGGTTTTTACAAATTTGTTTTCAAAAAATGTCCAGCATTCAATACTAAAAGTTGCCACAAAATAACTCAAATCCCTTATGTTACGTCATAGCCATTAACATATTGGAAATATAAACCTTTGTATCTCAAAGACCAGACATTCAAATGACGAATTATTTTCACAATCAACTATTCACTATTTAAAGAATCAATTCTGAAAATATTGTGTAAAGGCTTATAAGCACTTTAAGACCCTGGTCCTCTTGGGTGGAAGCAGATGGAAAAGAGGGTGATTAGGCCGAATTACTTTATCCCATAATCTTAAATCTGATTTTTCAATTATGTCTTTCACTGGAACYGTATTCTTAATATAACCAAACTTAAAATCCCTATTCTGCAAAATATCTATTTTATATAAATATTTAGAGTAACTAGAGTACAAACACTATAAGTGTGTAACATAAATACCACTAAATAYTGCTAAATTATGCTAATCCTATTTTTTTCTATTGTTTAATTAGCACTATTTACTACTAAATACTGCAAAGTGTTGCACACTTTTAGTGTTTGTACTCTAGAACAGCCCCAAACTGAACTGGCATAGGTGAATAGAGACATAATGATAGATTGGAAAAGGTGATGGAGGCAGTCCAAACTATAACCATATTTCTTACAAATCCTTAGTATATACATTCTCTTCCCTGCCTTTTTAGTAATATATACAGTATGAGTGGCCGTGTTGTATCAGATATACGACCACGAGGCGTAGCCGAGTGATTGTATATCTGATACAACAAGGCCACTCATACTGTATATGACTTATCAAACGYCTAGGTTAGTTCCTTTGTGTTTCACTAAAATTTTCAAAATTAAAGTGAGTTTGGCCAAGAAAATCCAACT